GATGATCCGGAGTCCTTTAAAAAGAATTTTGGTGAAATAAATTATGGTAATGGTACCTTAAAGTGGTCTGTTTTTCATCAAATATTAGCTCTGGATTCACATTGAGCTCTCAGGATTTCATCCTCCTTGGAATTACCCATTCGGTTTACCAAGTTCTTCGTAACTTAAAAATTTATATATATATGTTTATTTGTATGGATGTGAGATTGTAACCCGACGTTTCACGCCTATGCTATCTATCCCTGATATCGAACGCTTTCCAAGTGCCGCACATATATAATATATAAATAATATATATATATATATATATGCGTGTGTTTGTGTAAGTATAAATAAAATATATTCGTAAAAAGACAATATGAATAAAAACAAAAGGAAAACTTTTCTTTACCAACGCGTTTCCTTCCTTGAGGATCTTTACCATGTTAAAAAAAAAAGGTAATGATTTTATTTATCCTACTTTTACCTTGATAAATTTTCTCGGGCGACAAAGGGAGACAGGAAATTATGGAGAGACATGATTGTCAACGTCCTGAAGGGACACGGCACATAGAAGAAGAGATGGAGAAATGTGCGTTGCCAAGTTTTCAGCCTGTGGAAAGAACATTGAAGATACTCAATAATTTTTGATTTACTTTGACCTTATGGAGCACCAGGTTCCGTTTTTGCTTCTGATTTTAGATAGAAATTCCTTGTACTAAAATTCTTGTTCTCTAGGCGCATATATATTTATAACCCAGAGACAAGTGTCAGTCTAAAAAAACAAAAAACAAACAAACAAAAACTCAACAAAACAGAAATAATGGAGAAGAGAGAATATTTGAGTATTGTTCGTAGTTTCATGAACATATTCACATCAAATTTAAGCGACAGTAATATATGGAAGCATTCATTTAAGATGTTTCTGATATATGAAAGTTTCTGTATGATCGATTACACAATATTTTTCTTTTCTTCCGTCCTTCCATTATACAAACACACACACACATATATATATGTGTGTGTGTGTACACTCCTTAAACAATCTCCAACCTGTTTTTTTTCTATCTTCTCTCTTGGTCGCGTCAACTTATCACCCCTGGATATAGCCTATCCTGCGTCGTCTCCCAAAACGCTCAATCTGTCATCGAATCAAACAACCAGAAGAAAACTATTTGTCACGAAACTGTGCACAAATTACAAGGAACGTCTATCTTAAAAAAAAAAACTACATTTGCGCATGCGTAGCAATACGGAAAGAAAAAGAAGCGTCTTTGATTGAAAGAATCATGTTTTTATTATTTCCAACAATTTCGCTATGTACGTCCCAATCCAGAGAAACTCTTTTCCTTTCACCAGTCAAAAGCGTCGAAGTGATGCCTCACAATTTTCTTTTATTTTATTTTATGCTTTTATTATAAACGTCACTGAATCGTAAGAAATTCGAAAGTAAGAAAAAAAAAACTATAAAAAACAGGAGTAAATAAACAAAAAAAAAAAAAATCTTAACTACACCTTTTTAAGAAAAAATAAACTTTTTCGAATTACTGCCATATTTGGTCTGATAGTCCTGCTATATAACTCGACATTTTTGACAAAATTCAAAGATGCGTCTATAATTTAATCAATCCTAATTTGGCATCTCGACTTCAATCACTTTCTCCTCGACATGACGTAGTTTCCCTTTGTCTTTTCTAGAAATGCTTTCATGGCAACTGTTCCGTTGAGTTTTCTTGTTAGGTATTATTGTGGCTGTAATAAGAATGGTAAGTAAGAATGTGTTGTTTCGGTGTAAGGAACTCTGTGGTATGTTTGGGTCAGTAATTGCGGATAGCTAAGTTTGAAATAAGACAGAATGAAGACCATCCTTCCCCCATCCACCTTTTGGCCTTGTGACACATTTTTGTATTTTCAAAATAAATATTGCTTCCCCCGTTGGTGCCTCGACTGCATGAATTTAAGCGTTCAACTGGAATGTCAATTAGGTCTCATCGTTCTACTGTTGAACTTGATAGATGTAACCGTAAGTTCTATCCTAATAGTTTCCTCTCTCGCACTTCCTGCCTGTGAAACTCCCTTCCGATTTCTTGCTTCCCTGCCAACTACAATCTTAAAAATTTAAATTAACGCCAATCGCAATCTTCTGTTTTCTTGAAACATATTCTCTTTAACCCCTTGAGTCCTAATGGCATTATCGTCTTGCTTGGGGTGAAATGATTAAACCACTTAAGCTACAGTTATTAATACTACTAATACAATAATAAGATATACAATTATAGAAATCCCATCATATGACGAACAAGACAGATTACTAGTGTTTGTTTGTAAGTCAAAATGTTTAAGAGTACGAGTTGTGCCTGAAAAGTAGTAGAACTAGTGTCACGATCAATTTATTTTAATTCCAAGCAACAACAAACTACATGGTTTTCCCTTTCAAAATACCCCCCCCCCTCGAGTTTAATGCACTTTTCCATCCTCTGCCACCCTTCTTTGAACTACTGGAAGGATTCTTCTTGGTTCCCCCTAGCACCGTCGTTACTACCCTCTTGATGGCCTCCACGCCTTCAAAACATCCCTTGATCATCCCCTTGATCTTGAAGAAAAATCTCTCGGAGCAAGATCAGGTGAACAGGAAAGTTGTTTCAGTACGGCGATGTTCTTTTCGGTCAGTAACTGTCGGATGCTCAGGGCATTGTGATCAATTGCATATTGTCGTAGTGAAACGGCTACGATTTTTCCTACCACAACTCTCGCATGTGAAAACAAATGAAATGGTTGTAGAAAGCTAAGATTACAGTTATAAACTCCCAAGATATGTTAGATGGTAACACAAGCCGCTTGGCCCTCTTTCGTCCAGAGCTCACACATTACACCCAGTTCCGTTACTTTTCAGACAGACCATATATACAGTGTGCGATTGATAAATTGTCGTTGTTTTTCATTTTCATTGACGTGGTTGCGATATGTCGTGACACGTGAAAAACAATGCAATCAGCACATCAGTCCCGTTATTTTTCAGACACACCTCGTATAAAATAAGTCTCATATTTTTCATAATACTGATCTTTTATGGATACTGCATTGTGGCGAACTGGGTCTAAAAATATTTGTTGCCAGGAGACAAACAGATCCCACCCACAACTACCATGCTATCTTTTAATTTTCATAACGAATAAATAAAATCTTTAAAAAATACACATGGAAAGAAGGTTACAATTAAATTTTTTATGGAAAAAGTAATTGTACTAGTGCTAGATACAGGTAAATACAAAATGTTATAATTGAATATTTTATTCATTTAATTTTAAGTAATTGGTTGATATTTTTAAACTTATACATTAACAGATAGTTCTAAAGCATAATGCAGCCTTGCATGCAGTCGACTATATTAAGATCAATCGTTTGTGTTCACAAGATGATCGTTCCAATCTGCCAATAATTGCTTTTGCATCTAATTCGTCTAACAATTCCTTTTCTATGGATAACTAAATGTATGATTCGAAATTCTCCTCAGGCAGCGAATTTCTTAACCTTGTCTTTACGATCGTTAGCTTTGTCCCCTGGCACCGGCCTTGAGTAACTGATAGTGTGCAGATGACTTTATAAATTTCTTATTCCTTTTTATTACTGAAACAGTTGTCTGCGTTTATTTCTTTAATACAGTTTTATTTGACATAGAGGACCCACTTCATCAGGGACCTGCTTGTCATGGAGCCAGCTGACACCTTGACCAGTGCGCCACTGAATGTCTTGCCTGTTGGGAGAGAACGTGAATTAAAGAGAATTGTAACTAAAATATATATTCATGCATTTCAAATCACGAGATTTATATAAAAAATATCAATGTTTAACTTATTCACTTCTGTTTTCCCTTAATAAAGCTTGTTGTTTTGTTTCTGAGCCTTTTTTACGTTCAGTTCTTTAACATGTTTGAATTTTTGCAGCTCAACTTAAGCAGTTTATATTGAACCCGCTTAGCAAGCAGGTAAAAGAGGTTAAAGATTAACTTATAAATGTAGACATGACAGCCTGTTTGATCACCAGACCATTATAAAGCGGGTATCCAATCTCGTGATTTCAACTGTTTCGAAAATATGTGGGCACTCTGGCATGGCTTAATGATTAGCAAGCTTGTCTCGCTAGAACAATTACAACTGAGTAGTGAGTTCGATCCTCAGTTGGTGCCCCCATACCTTTGGCCTTGTGCCACATCTAAGCTACGCTTAGAAAATCAGGGAACCTCGACGTGGTGTAATGTTTAGGAAGCTTGTCTTGCTAGATCATTTACGATTGAATAGTGAGTTCGATCATTACTGGGTACCTCATACGTTCGTCCTTGTGCTACATCTAAGCTACGCTTAGAAAATCAATATACTGGACACCTCGGCGTGGTGCAATGGTTAGCAAGCTTGTCTCGATAGAACAATTACGACTGAAATAGTGAGTTCAATCCTCACTGCGTGCCCCCCCACTTTCGGCCTTGTGCCACATCCAAGTTACGCTTGGAAAATCACTATAAAATATGTTGGTATCCATCGATTTGATTGAAATCTATCTATTTCGGTCTGTTCATATCTATCTATCTCATTCTATTCATATCTATCTATACATCAATCTATCTATCTCGGTCTGTTCATATCTATCTCGGTCTGTTCATATCTATCTATCTCGGCCTGTTCATATCTATCTATCTCGGCCTGTTCATATCTATCTATCTATCTATCTATCTATCTATGTCATACCTAAATAAGATAAAATCGAATATCTCCAAGCGGATATAAATAAAATTGACGACAAAATGAATTCTTCTGAATTCAGTTTGACCGTTGTAGATGACATATTCTTTAAATGACCTGACCAGCAAAAAATTAACAAAATAAAAATCCTGAATTTGCCAAACACGTTTTCATAAAAAGAATAACTCGTAATTCTTGATAATGACCGTCACAGTCGAAAGTACTCCGATGAAATCTTTGCAAAGTTTATTTATTTGCTGATGTGATTAAATACTACGAGTGCTTACAGCCATATTACCTTAAAACAACGGTTTTCGTTCGATCACCGAAGTTAAGCAACGTCAAGCATGGTCAGTACCTAGATGGTTGACCACGTGGGAATACCAGTAAGCTTGGATATGTTCGTTATATACACTTACGCGCAAATACCTTTGGGAAACAAAGATGAACCGATCTCTTCTTCCCCTATCTATGGGTTAGGCAGTAGGTCTTGCGTTAGTAAATCGTTATTATTGCCAAAGAATTCGTACAATGTAAAATTATTTTCTAGCTTTAATTAACCTTCAAAAGGGTGATAAATCGTAAAAAACACTATGAAAAAAACTCTATAATCCGTAAAAAACTATAAAAAACTCTATAAACCGTAAAAAACAAAAGGGTGATAAACCGTAAAAAAACGAGGTTTTACATAAACGTTTGCTTGGCCTTGTCCCGTTAGGACGTAGGCGATCATGGCTCTCCAGAATTTCCTGTCCTTTGTAGCTCTTAATAGCTTTTGACTTTTTGTTATCTCTCCCATACCTTGTCCTGACATCCATTCAATTAAGCTCTCCAGGTGGGTGTTGCAATGCTTATCTCTGTTTCTCTTACCTTGAATTTACCCCCCCTGTAACGGCAAGGGGGGGGGTAAATTCAAGGTAAGAGAATTTGTCCTGCGACTATCAAATTTTCTAAGCCCCAGAAATTTCGACTCTCCCGTCCTGGCGTTAAGTATAATTGTCCATTTTGTTTTCACTTTCTCTAGAACTTCTTGTAGTTTTAAATCTCTTCTTAATCTGTGAGAAGATTATCCAGCATTCACTGCCATGTAGGAGGACTGATATTGTATAACAACTCAGTACCCCTTTTTTGTGTTTCTAACGATATTTTCCATTTCTTAATACTTTGCTTAGTTTCTGGAAGACATCTTTCGCTATCCCACTTCGCCTTCTGATTTCCGTGTCCCATTTTCCGTCCCTTGTTAAAACATTTCCCAGATATTTAAATTATTGTACTTGTTTCATATCTCGGTATTTTTCGGTATCTCCCTCCAATTTGTAATTTGCACATCAGTCTGTCCCTTTTGCTAACATATTTTCATGTCAATTGCTTCATTTTAAGATTTTTTTAATATTTGAAAGAAAGGATATTTACACTGTTCGGTCTATTATCCCCATCTTTATTGTCATATTCACGACGTTTCAGCCGTTGTACACTCCGGCCTTCTTCAGGTTATATACGTTGGAATTTACAACTGAATCCTATGCTTTTACTGGATGTCTCAGTTTTTGTTAACTCCCTTTAGTAACTCAACTCAAGTTTTTTTGAACTCACAACTCAATGGGTCAAGTCACTGGATTACTTCAACCAACGCTTTTATCCATTGGGCTATGTGTCCTTGGGGACATCAGAGAACGGATTTTTTGGGACTTATAAACTTAGGCGAACAAAAAACTTGGAGAGTTGAGTTACTAAAGAGAAATGACTGAAACTGCGATATACAGAAAAGACATGGCACGTGGAACTCGAAAAATCTATCTCGGTGGACTAAATAAAAGGTTGTATCACCTGAAGAAGACCGGGGCGTACAATGGCCGAAACGTCGTGAATATGGCAATAAAGACGAGGACAACAGCCTGAACAATGCAAATAGTGTAAATCGAAAGAAAAGTGTAAATTGAAAGAAAAGATCCATTATTTCCATCGAATATATTCCTTTAATCTACTGACTTATTCCGAGATATTCTTACGCTGACCTCCCCACACTCACTTTTTCATGGGGTGAGGGGCTATACTTAGTGAAACTAATAGGAAGAAATGTTTAGATTCTGTTTTTTTTTTTTTTTAGGACAATAACGAAATGATATCTACGATCAGCAACCCGATAGTGAAAACGCTGCACTTTTTTCCGTATCCAAATTGCTTATGCGACAGGTTATTCCAGGCACCAACTTAATATATAAGTCAATTATTTCCTTTAAATATACGCAGGCGATCTCATGAGTTTGAGCGGGAAGGAATGGATGCTGTGGGTCCAAAGAATTTATTGATTGTGTCTAAAATAGAATCTTTGGATTGGTTATCGAAGACTGTAAAGAGTCAGGGGAAAAAAGAGGAAGGAAGAGATGAGCAGATAAGGAAAAGAGCAAAGAAAGAAAGAATGAAAGAAAATAAGCACGTATAGAAAGATTGAAAAAATGAAAAAAAGTTGAAGAGGCAAATTGATAAGAAAAATTTAAATTCTTACTTTAAATTTAAATATATACAGAAATAAAGACGAGAAAAATGACGAACTGATAAAGGAAAGCAGCAAAGAAAGAAAGAAAAAAGAAAGACAAAAAGAAAGAAGTAAAGACGGGTAAAGAGAAAACTGATAAGGAAAATAGCCTTAAATAAAGAAAGAAAATGTAAATTCTTTCTTTCTTTTTTTCTCTCAAGAAAGAAGAAAAGAATTTAAATACATATATATAGAAAGAAACAAAGACTAGCGAAGAGACGTACTGATAAGGAAAAAGTATAAAAAAGAAAGAAAGTAAATGTGAGCAGAAAGAAAGAAGTGAAAGAAAGAAAAAACGTGAAAGTGTATAAAAATAAAGATAAATGGTGTAAAATAAGAATATGAAAGAACGAACAGTAATATATATACTGGGTGCGATTGGTAAATTGTCGCCATTATATATTTTTAATTTCGCGCATGCGCGTTGTTTATTTTTGATTTTATCGACTGCTCAGTATAGTAGGATCAGTTAGAAAACGTCTGTGAGAAAAAGAGCACCATGACGCAATTCATGCTAGCAGAAATTTGGAAATGGCATGCTGTACTGCTAGGCATTCGCGCCGGAAGCTCCAATACGAACATTTCAGTGTATTTGCGTGTCAATCTTAGACAATGCAGAGGATTCGGAAAGATTTGGATGAGTCTAATGGTTATAACGGAGGTACGGCAGCTCGGAAAACTCACTCGGATTATTCTGATAAAAAAGAACTCCCGAATGTGTTGGTGAGGGCTTCAAACTCAACACGGAGACCTACATTAAATGCCTTGAGGAAGTAGTGCTGCCCTGGGTCAACAGAGTGGCCGCTGGAAGACTCTATGCATGGCAACAGGTCTCTGCACCATGCCACACAGGCAGGAGAACCCAGTCATGATTGTCTGACAGCTCTTCAGACGGTAACCGCTTTGATTATTATGTATGGGGCGCAGTTCAGATAGAAACCAACAAAACTCCTTACAACACCAAATATGAACTGAAGGCAAGGAGCATGGCAGGATTCACCAACAAGGAGACTGTCCAGAAGAGTTGCAGGAGATTCCGAAGTCGTCTGGAGGCCGTGGGTGAAGTCAATGTCGAGTTTATTGAATAAATTTACTCTTTAGTATTTCAAGGTATTTTTGTGTAATTTTGGTAAATATATATTTTAAAATGGGAAGCCAATTTTCATTTTTTCGTAATCTAGACGACAATTTATCCATTCCACCCTTATATATATATATATATATATATATATATATATATATATATATAGAAGGAAGGAAGGGTAAAAAGACATGACTAAGATATTGAAGGTCTTTGAAGCCAGAAATCAAGGGAAGAGGAAAAAGATAAAAGAAAGGTAATTAAGAAGAAAAATATCGAAGGAAGGGAGAAAGATGACAGAAGGTAAGAAGAGCGAAAAAAAAATGATGGGAAAGAAGGAAGGAAAGAAAAGTAAGGAAGGACGGAGTGATAAATACGGGAGAAAGAACAATAGAAAAAAAGAAAGAGAGAGAAAAAGAGAGAGAGAAAGAAAGAAAGAGAGAGAGAGAGAGAAAGACTAAAGGACTAAAGAAAGAAAAGTAAAAGACAACTACAAATGAAATGAAGAGGAAAATACGCAAGGAAGTATTAGGCAAAAAGACCGAAAGAACGAAGCTTTCTAAAAGTCGGAAGGATGGAAAAGTGACAAAAGAGAAGGAAAGAAAGAAGGGAAGTGGGTAGTAAAATTACGGAACATTGGTCGTGGGAAAGAGAAAAAGACAAAAGGAAGGAAGGAACGAACGAACGAAGAGGAAAATACAGTAAGAAGATAAGGGAGAAAGAAGAGTATAAAAGTAAAACAAGAAAAATAAATAAATAAATAAACGTAGGTAGGAAGGAAGGAAGGAAGAAAGGAAGGAAGACTTAAGACACAGGAAGATGTTATTCTGTAAGTGGAAAAGACTAAAAAAAAAATTGGTAGGAAAGAAAAAAAGGAAAATCCATAATAATTGAAAAAAGTAGGGATGGAAGAAGAAAGCGTGAAGGAAGGAGGAGAAAAGAGAAAAAAGAAGAAAAAGAGTAAAAAGACGGAAACCAAGGGAAGAGGAAAAAGATAAAAAGGAAGGAAATTAAGAAGGACGGAGTGATGAATACGGGAGAAAGGACGATGGAAAGAGAGAGAGAGAGAGAGAGGGAGAGAAACAGACAGACAGACAGATAGAGAAAGAAGAAAAAGACTAAAAGGACTAAAGAAAAGTAAATGAATGAATGAATTAAGGAAGGAAGGAAAGAAGGAAACAAAGAAAGAAAGAAAAAGAAGAAGAAGAAAGAATGAAAGATAGAAAGACAAACTGAGTGATAAATAAGGTAGAACGGACAAGAAAAAACGACAGAAAGATATAGAAAGAAAGAAGAAAAAGACTGAGGGCCTAAAGATAGAAAAGAAAGTGAATGAAGGAAGGAAAGAAGGAAGGAAGGAAGAAAGTAAGGAAGAATGAAAGAAAGAAAGAAAGAATGAAAGAAATAAAAGAAAAAAAACTGAGTGATAAATACTGTAGACAAGAGGAGAAAGGAAGGAAGAAAGGAAAGAAAGAAAGAATACAAGAAAAAAAAAGCCTGGATGACTAAAGAGAGAAAAGAGAATAAATCAATGAATGGTTGAAAGAAGCGAGGAATAAAAGAAGGAAAGAAAGAAGGAAAAAAGGAACGACAGAGTGATAAATGCGAAAGAAAGAGCGATGAAAAAGATAAAGAAGAAAAAAGACTGAAGGACTAAAAACAGAAAAGTGTTGAAGATATGAAGGAAGGAAGAAAAGCAAGAAAAACTGAGTGATAAATACGGAAGAAAGGGCAAGAGATAGAAAGAAAGAAGAAAAAGATTTAAGGACTAAAGAAAGGTGAAGGAATCATTGAATGATTGATGGAACGAAAGTAGGAAGGAAGGAAAAGGAAGGACGTAGTGATAAATACGGAAGAAAGGACGAGAGAAAGAGATAGATAGAAAGAAAAAACTGACGGACTAAAGATAGAAAAATGAGGGAATGAAGGAAAGAAAGAAGAAAAGAAAAGTTAGGAAGGGCGAGTGATAAATACGGTAGAAAAGACGATGGGAGGAGATAGATAGAGAGAAGAAAAGACTGAAGGATTAAAGATAGAAAAGTGAATGAATGAATGAAGTAGGGAAGAAAGGGAGGTAGGAAGGAAGGGAAGAATGAAAAAGAAAGGAAAACAGCGTTAAATATGTGAGAAAGGACGAGAAGAAAGAAATAGAGAGGGGGAGAAAGAGAAAGAAGAAAAAAGATTGAAGAACTAAAGATAGGAAATTAAATGAATGAATGACGGATGGAAGAAAGGAAGGGAGGAAAAAAAGAAAGAAAGAAAGAAAGAAAGAAAGAAAGAAAGAAAGGAAAGAATAACTGAGTGATAAGTACGGTAGAAAAGACGAGAAAAAAACGAGAGAAAGAAATATAAAGAAAGAAGAAAAAGATTGGAAGACTTTATATAGAAAAGTGAAGAAATGAATGAATGGTTGAAGGAAGGAAGGAAGGAAGGAAACAGAAGGGTGGAGTGATAAATACAGAAGAAAGGACGATGAAAAGAGATAAAGAAGAAAAAAAATGAAGGACTAAAGATAGAAAAGAGATGAATGAATGAAGTATGGAAGGGAAGAAGGGAAGAAAAAATGGAAAGAAAAACAGAATGTTAAACATGGGGGAAAAGGCGAAAAAAAAAACAGTGAAAATGATAGAAAGAAAGAAGAAGGTTGAAGGACTAAAGATAGAAAAGTAAATGAATGAATGAATGAATGAATGAAACAAGGAAATAAAAGTTAATCGGACGCAATGATAAATGAAATGACTAGGGAAAGAAACAGAAAGAAAGGAAAAATGACTGGGAGCATTAAAGATAGAAAAGTGAATGAATGAATGAAGGATGGATGAAAGGAAGGGATTGAAAAATAAGAAAATGACTAAGGAAAGAAACAAAAGAAAGAAGAAAATGACTGAAGCATTAAAAGATAGAAAAAGAATGAATGAAGGATGGATGGAAGGAAAGGAAATATAAATAAAGAAAATACTTGGAAAGAAACAAAAAGAAAAAGAAAATGACTGAAGCATTAAAGATAGAAAAGAATGAATGAATGAAGGATGGATGGAAGGAAGGAATAAATACGAAGAAATGACTAGGAAAAAAAAGAAAAGAAAGAAGAAAATGACTGAAGCATTAAAGATAGAAAAGGAATGAATGAATGAAGGATGGAAAGGAAGGAGTTTAAAAGAATGAAAAAAGAAATAAAAAAAGAAGAAAATGAAAGAAGGAAAGATAGAAAAGTGAATGGAATGAAGGATGGATGGAAGGAAGGAAAAAATACGAAAGAAATGAAAAGAAAAAAACAGAAAGAAAGGAGAAAATGAAATGCATTAAAAATAGAAAAGTGAATGAATGAATGAAGGAAAGGAAGGATGGAAGGAAGGAGAAATACAGGAAAGAAAAGAAAGAAAGGAAAAAAGTATTAAAGATAGAAAAGTGAATGAATGAATGAAGATGGATGGAAGGAAGGATTTAAATACGGGAGAAAGGACTTAGGAAAGAAACAGAAAGAAAGGAAAAAATGACTGAAGCATTAAAGATAGAAAAGAATGAATGAATGAAGGATGGATGGAAGAAGGGAAAATACGGGAGAAATGACTAGGGAAAAGAAGAAAAGAAGAAAATGACTGAAGAAAAATGAATGAATGAATGAATGAAGGATGGATGGAAGAAGGAGGATAAATACGGGAGAAATGACTAGGAAAGAAACAAAAAAAAAGAAAAAAAAACTGAAGCATTAAAGATAGAAAAGTGAATGAATGAATGAAATGGATGGAAAGGAAGGAAAAATACGGAGAAATGACTAGGGAAAGAAACAAAAAAAAGAAAAAAATGACTGAAGCATTAAAGATAGAAAAGTGAATGAATGAATGAAGGATGGATGGAAGGAAGGAAAATAAATACGGGAGAAATGACTAGGAAAGAAAAACAGAAAGAAAGGAGAAAATGACTGAAGCATTAAAGATAGAAAAGTGAATGAATGAATGAAAAACATGGATGGAAGGAAGGAGGATAAATACGGGAGAAATGACTGGAAAAAACAGAAAGAAAGGAGAAAATGATAGAAAAAAGATAGAAAAGAATGAATGAATGAAGGATGGATGGAAGGAAGAATAAATAAGGAGAAAATGACTAGGAAAGAAACAGAAAGAAAAGGAAAAAATGAAAGCATTAAAGATAGAAAAGTGAATGAATGAATGAAGGATGGATGGAAGGAAGGAAAATAAATAAGAAATGACTAGGGAAAGAAACAAAAAGAAAGAAGAAAATGACTGAAGCATTAAAGATAGAAAAGTGAATGAATGAATGAAGGATGGATGGAAGGAAGGAGTGAAAATACGGGAAAATGACTAGGGAAAGAAAAAAAGAAAAAGAAAATGAATGAAAAGATAGAAAAAAATGAATGAATGAAGGATGATGGAAGGAAATAAATACGGAGAAAATGACTAGGGAAAGAAACAGAAAGAAAGGAGAAAATGACTGAAGCATTAAAGATAAAAAGTGAATGAATGAATGAAGGATGGATGAAGGAAGGAAAATAAAAAGAAATGACTAGGAAAAGAAACAAAAAGAAAGAAGAAAATGACTGAAGCATTAAAGATAGAAAAGTGAATGAATGAATGAAGGATGGATGGAAGGAAGGAGTGATAAATACGGGAGAAATGACTAGGGAAAGAAACAGAAAGAAAGGAGAAAATGACTGAAGCATTAAAGATAGAAAAGTGAATGAATGAATGAAGGATGGATGGAAGGAAGGAGTGATAAATACGGGAGAAATGACTAGGGAAAGAAACAAAAAGAAAGAAGAAAAAACAGAAAGCATTAAAGATAGAAAAGTGAATGAATGAATGAAGGATGGAAAAGGAAGGAGTGAAAATACGAGAAAATGACTAGGAAAGAAACAGAAAGAAAAAGAAAATGACTGAATTAAAGATAGAAAAGTGAATGAATGAATGAAGGATGGATGGAAGGAAGGAGGAAATACGGGAAAATGACTAGGGAAAAAACAGAAAGAAAGGAGAAAAAAGCATTAAAGATAGAAAAGTGAATGAATGAATGAAGGATGGATGGAAGGAAGGAGTGATAAATACGGGAGAAATGACTAGGGAAAGAAACAAAAAGAAAGAAGAAAATGACTGAAGCATTAAAGATAGAAAAGTGAATGAATGAATGAAGGATGGATGGAAGGAAGGAGTGATAAATACGGGAGAAATGACTAGGGAAAGAAACAGAAAAGAAAGGAAAAATGATGACTGAAGCATTAAAGATAGAAAAGTGAATGAAAAGGATGGATGGAAGGAAGGAGAAAGAATGAGGGAAAGAGATAGAAAGAAAGAGGAACAAGACTGAAGATAGAATAACGAAAGAAAGGAGGAGAAAGAGAGCTAAAAAGAAAGATCGAAAGTGGTTGGAAAGAGTAAAATAGAAAAACGCAATTGGAAGGAATGAAAGAAAGTAAAAGAATAAATCCGGAAGGAAAGAAGAGAAAAAGGACGACGACAAGATAAGTAAAAATAATCACAGAATGAATTTAATATCGGAAAATAATTCGAGAAAGAGAACCAATGAAAGAAAGCCAAACTAAGCAAATACATTACGACCCCTTCCCAACCACTTTTCCCTGCGGGAGTAATCCTTCCCACCCATCACCTACACCTTAATTCCCCCCTCACACCCACCCACTGTCACCCTTCTTCACTTTTCCTGGACATTTTATTTTTTTCTCTCCTTATTTTATGATATTCAACAAGTGCTCTGATCGGAATTGCGTGGGCGTCAGTGACGTTAGTGCTCGGGATTGGCCCCAGATCGATTGACCGCACATTCATGTGAGACGCCCAGCCAGTCTGGGGTGGAGCAGGGAAAGGGGTGGTGGTTTGACATGAAGCAGAAAAATACAGACACGTGAAGAAAGCCTCCGAAATATCCGCCTCCTCGATAAGTGCGTATAATACACCATAAACATTTTCTTCTAATACGAAAGAGGATTTTTCTTTGCAGTACAAGGCTTGTTTTTGCATAGGATCAATAGCTGCAGCTGTGTTTATAAAATTTAAGTTGGGTAATGGTTTAACAACTTAGCCTGGTTAGCTTTGAGTTCCAGGCTTGTGGCCTTGGACCAAACTCTAGTTAGTTGTTATTTGTTGAAAACTATGTGTGAAATAATTTCTGTTTTTACCAACTTTAATCTTCAAAAAATGAATTTCAGGTACCGCATTTACCAGTCTGTTGGATGGGGATTTATTTCCAAAATAATACACCAGAAATAATTACCTTGCGTCCAATATAATAGTACCATGTATGAGAAGAACATGAAGACCACGAAATAGGTGGGATTCACCAGGAATCATTGCAAGCAGTGAGCTTAGCTCTGAAACTAGGACTTCAAAGTTGCCACCCACTGGCCAAAAGGAAGTTGAATGAATAAATGAAAACTTTTGCGATCAAGTGCCAATTTCATTATAGAAAGTAATAAAAATCATGTATTCAACAAATTAACATAAATTCCCATTTTTACTGGCCTATTAGACGTGGATTCCCCACCACCCCAAAAAATGCATTAAAAAATTGCCCTGTACCCAATACAGCCATATCATATATGAGAGGGACGTGAAGACCACAAAAATGGGGTTCACCAGGAATCATTTCACGCAGAGAGCTTAGCACTGAAACTAGGACTCCTTGAAGCGAACAAAAAAAAAAAAAAAAAAAAAAAAAAGAAATTAAAAAATATCCCTAAAAAATTCATCCATGAAAAAGAAATTATGAAATTGCATATTTTGCTGCTTGTTCTGTAGAAATGCCAGATTTTACAGAAATATTTGCCTTGACTGGTATATTACTGCTTGCTTTGTGTGGGTTTTTTGTTGTTATACATGTAATGGAATTTGGTTCTCTGCATGTGGTATGGGACTTTGTTTACCAACAAGTAGCATATTTAACCTGTTTAAGACTAGAGTTATCTTTCCATCCTATTCGTATAATCTACCTCTTATCATAATCCTCTACCTCAAGTAACCCTTGTACAGAGTGAACTTTACTGAAAAAAAATGTTTTTCTGCTTAATACCATATGTACCAGTGTTTACTGATAACAGTAGATTTCTTTGTAACTATTATGAATTCACTGTATGTGCAGATGTTGCTCCTTGAAAAACAACTAAAATAATTTTCAATAAATGCATGATGAAATGTACTAAAATTCTTCTTTTCTAAAAAATGTCCTGCTAATTAAAGCTTACTTCATTTCTATTAAAAAAAAAAAGTACCAGTAGTATAATTTGGAGCCCCTAAAGCAGTTCGTCGCTGATTTCAGCCTCGTTCTGGTAGCTCCTGCGATGGCGCTGGTGACAAAATCTAATAGCCTTGTCGTTCCTTTGGATCCATCAGCGATGTGGAGAGGGGAACATACTGCACCGGCAACAGCTTGTCCTCCATGCCATTGTGCCCAGGTTTGATCCTACCATACAGATTAGTGGGATCAAATCCATGGTCATTGATGACCGGTGGAGACCCATCTAGTATAATTGATGTTCATACAGTAAGTATTTCTTCATGTTTAGTGGGAATGTCAAATAAAGGTAAGGTTATCATTTTGATTTTTTGTGTTGTAATGTGTGCATTTTTCCTTAAATATTCCATGCCAAAATCTGGGTGCGTCCAATGCGCGGGGGCATCCAATGCGCGGGGGCATCCAATGCGCGGGGGTATCCAATGCGCGGGTGCGTCCAATGCGCGGGGACATCCAATGTGCGTGGGCATCTAATTCGCGGGTGCGTCCAATAGGTCAGTATATTGTATTCTATTATACTCATATATTCTCCATTCTTTGCAGTCAGTTGTTACCACTTATCCAGCAGCTCTTCGATAGCCTTTTCGTTTAATTTTGTAGATTTTGATGCGAAAAAAAATTCGGTGCAATCTTGAATCTGTTTTTCGCTAGAGAAAGTTTTCCTAATCAAAACTTTTGCATCGATCGAAGAAAAGATAACAATCTGTTGGTTCAATGTCAGGCGAATATGGCGGGTGGGGGCGAAACAGACTAAAAGAATTTCTTCTCTCGCACTTCTCACTTGTGGAACTCTTTTCTGGTTTTCTTGCTTTCCTGTCAACTACGATCTTCAAAGATTTAAATGCAACGTGAATTGTTACTTTCTGTCCCCTTGAATTCTGTTTTATTATCGTCCTTTCTTAGCATCTGTTTTTCTCAGCAACCCCTTGAATCTTAGTGGCATTATCGACTTGCTTGGGGTGAGATGATTAAAAAAGAAATTCAAAAATTCTTCCTGCGTTATTTTTTCTGTATGCAGACTTGTGATGCCGTGGAGGAGAATAACCTTTTTCCTTTAATCTATGTCAATCATGAGTAAACTGTGGCTCGCGGGCCACATGTGGCCAGATTGGTTTTTCTGAATGGCATTCTTAATTTCATAAGCAAAATAACATTTATTAAAATTTCTCACTTGTTCACTCACACGCTCTCTCATACATAACCACACACATACATAATGATTAAGTTCAA